CCCTAGCGGACGATCAAATCAGCGGCAGAGGGGGAAGGGGAGGGGAGGGGAGGGGGAGTGGGAGGGGGAGTGGGAGGGGAGGGGGGAGCAATCAGTCGCGCGATGCCCCGCTCATGCAGAGCTGCTGATCTCTATGATGACCTAGCTGTCGTCGCTGTCGTCATTGTCGTCGCCGCTGTCGCCGCCGCTGTCGTCGCTGTCGTCGCCGCTGTCGTCGCTGTCGTCGCTGTCGTCGTCGCTGTCGACGGCGTGACGTCACGCGGTGGCGTCTGCGGCTGTGGTGGTGTTCCTGTTGATGGTTTTGGCTGTTGTGATGATTATGTTGTTGGTGATGTTGTTGTTGTTGTTGTTGTAGTTGTAGTTGTCGTTGTATATTGGTGATAATGATGATATGATATGATATGACATGATATGATATTATACAATATGATACGATACGATACGATACTATAATATACGATACGATACGATACGATATGATATAAGATGAGATGATATGATATGACTTGATAGTGTTGTTGTTATTTCTGCTCTTACTGCTGCTGTTGTTGTTGTTGTTGTTGTTGTTGTTGTTGTTGTTGTTGTTGTTGTTGCTGCTGCTGCTATGATTGCTATCGTTGCTGCGTCTGCTGCTAATGTAATGGCGTTTTGCTGACGTCATGCGGGTTGACGGTCGTGAGGTTAAAGAGACTGAAATAAGGCTATAGTCTCAAATCGATCGTCAGCTTCTTATGCCTGATAAGCCTTCCCGCTCACCGCATGCTGAGCGCATGCTCATGTCTAGGTGTGTGTGCGTGTCAGTGCGTGTATGTATGCGCGTTCGTGCGTGCGTACGTGTGCATGTGTACGTGTGCGTGTGTGTGTGCTTGTGTGCGTGTGTGTGTGCGCGCGTGCGTGCGTTCTTGCGTACGTGTGCGCGCGTTCGTGCGTGCGTGTGTGTGCGCGCGTTCGTGCGTGCGTGCGTTCGTGCGTGCGTGCGTGCGTGCGCGCGTTCGTGCTTGCGTGCGTGCGTGGTTTCGTGCGTGCGTGCGTGCGTTCGTGCGTGCGTGTGGGTAGATGCGTTAAGGAGAGCGTTCTGTGTGTTGAAGATGGACGAGATGCAGGCCGCGTGCGACATAAGCTGATATATGATGCATGCTTTCAACCTTCATGGACATACAGACAGCAGGACTACCGAGGATAGCGTAGTAGCGTGTCTAAACGTTTCTAATTACTTGATCTGATATAATTGACTAATTTAATATCCCGTGATACATCTTCTGAAGTTATTACTACAAATTGAGAGTGTGAGAGATAGCGAGAGAAAGAGGAAGCGAGAGAGAGAGAGTGAGAAACAGGAAGAGAGAAAGAGCGAAAAAGGAAAAGAGAGGGAAAGAGAAGAGGGAGAGAGAAAGAGAGAAAGAGGAAGAGAAAGAGAGAAAGAGGAAGAGAAAGAGAGACAGAGACAAAGAGAGAGAGAGAGAGAGAGAGAGAGAGAGAAAGAGAGAGAGAGAAGAGAGAAAGAAGAATAGAGAAAGAGAACACGAAAACAGAAGACACCAATGGTACCACCTCCACCCTGCTCCCACCCGCACTCACGCACCTTTCTCGTTGTCCTGCTGAAACCGTTCCGGTCCGGCGTATCCGATGTGACCGCCGAACTGGCGGTTGAACTCTGCGAGGAGCGTGTCGAAGGGGTTACGCACGAGCAGGACGGCTCGCGCGTACTTTCGGCGAGTCTCCGGTCCGTACTCGTGCGTCTTGATCGCTATCACCGTGCTGTTGTGCACGCTCTCTCCCGGGAATCCATGCTTCAGCAAGCCCTGGTCGCGGTAGATGCTGCCTGTGTAGACGCCTGTAACACACAGAACACGCGCGAGGTGAGCCTACAGCTTATAAATAAATAAATAAATATAGGTCTATATACGCATATTTATGCACACATATGCGTCCATCCCATACCTGTAGATATATATGCATGTATATGTATATATATGCGCTATAATATATAATATGTAAGTGCTATTTGAGTGCCATGTGAGTGCTAATATGTGAGAGCTAATAATGCGTGTATTATTATTAGCTTCTGATATACGTGTATATATGATATGTGTGTGTGTGTGTGTGTGTGTGTGTGTGTGTGTGTGTGTGTGTGTGTGTGTGT